GTGTAGGCCTCGTATTGGTATGACGTTACTTACTCATTTAGCTTGATTGGCTTAGTGTTGATTGGTGTTGATACTTTGATTACCTAGGCCTGTCATGCATGTTTGTTTACTTGGACTATGTAGCTCTACTAAGAACTACGTATGGCTTGATCCCGTTCGGGTACGTAGGCAGCCCACTTTGGGTTCAGCCACTGCTATATAGTTTTTTTTTTTTTTTTTTAAAAAAAAAAAAAAAAAAAAAAAACCCTGAACCCTGAACCCTGAACCCTGAACCCTGAACCCTAAACCCTAAACCCTAAACCCTAAACCCTAAACCCTAATGGGTACGTAGGCAGCTCTTTGAGCCCAGCCAAAAAAAAAAAAAAAACCCTAAACCCAAAACCCTAAACCCTAAACCCTAAACGCATGCGCTTACGGGATACGACTTGAAGGATCTCGCACATTTATCGGGAGGGGAACCGTGTTGCGGATATTTTAGCGACGACGGCGGTCTCCCTTCCGACGGAGCGGATACTTCTTCCAATGGATCTCCCTCGGGCGACTAGAGGCCTCCTTCGAGCGGATGCCGATGGACTTCCGGGCTTCCGTTTCCGGTTGTAGGCCTCGTCTTGGTATGACTTTACTTACTCTTTGATACTTTGGCTTGATAGGCTTAGTGTTGGTTGGTGTTGAGACTTAGGCTTTTTTGCCTTATGATAGATACTTTGATTACCTAGGCCAGTCATTCATGTCTGTTTACTTGGACTATGTAGCTCTACTAAGAACTACGTATGGCTTGATCCCGTTCGGGTACGTAGGCAGCCCACTATGGGTTCAGCCACTGCTATATAGTTTTTTTTTTAAAAAAAAAAAACCCAAAACCCAAAACCCGAAACCCTAAACCCTAACCCCTAACCCCTAACTCCTTCCAAAAAAAAAAAAAAACCCTAAACCCTAAACCCCAAACCCCAAACCCCAAACCCTGTGTTCATAAGAAATAACTTGAAAAGAGAAGTCCTTAAATATGGTTTAAGATACAATGCAAGCGAAGCAGGGAGGACCTATCATTACAAATGGACTCTAAAGGCCTAAGCGTGTGAGCATCAAATAAGATCTTGAGCAGACATAATTTTGTTTGAAACTCTCGATCCAAAAAAAAACTCCGCGCCCTTCGGCAGAAAGTTTCCTAAATCGAAAAAATATTCCCCGCTAAGCAAGCAAAGTTGACAATACCTGGATAACTCTAATCTTGTTAAATCAAATGGCAAGCTGAATACTTATGGCTTCTTTGTTTCTACTTTGAGATTCACTTTATTCCCAATCATGGCACTTATTGGTAACACTTCTTAATTGCAGTGAACAGTATAACCTCTTGATCTCTAAATGCAGTTTGTTCCAGGACGAACAAAGGTTTAGTGTGAGGAGGTTTGATAACTCCAAATAGGAGCATATTCTTAGCTTGACAAAACTGTGTATTACTCGAATTTCTGTATAAAAACCATCACAATGAATCATCAATGGCATACATTATTGATATATATCGCTTGGCATGATCCAGAATTTGTTGTTAAGATTATTAACGATTTTTGCCTTTTTAAACGGTAGTCTGGTGCCAGAAAAGCTAAGGCAGACGCCACAAGCGACAGTCATCTCCGCTCGCAAGCGCCCAGAATACATCCTGAAAATACTAAGCCATGAGAGGCAAGCGGCAGCCACCCGCAAGCGACAGCCCAGACACCCGCCGCTGCAGATTATCACCAGATTTCAATTAAGTGTTCCAACTGCAGCGGTACAACCATTCCATTTCCAGCCAGCACAAGCGAGCCTAGCTGCACTGATGCCCTCCAGTCCTTCGGCAAACGAGGAAGATTTGTGCCCTTACAGTTCATCGCAATCAAAGCAAGCGCCCTGGGAGTTATGGCCAGTAACTGCCTCAATAGAATAACTACCAGTAACTGCCTAACTGCCCAGCGGTTGGAACTGCCCAACAACTTATTGCAACTGTCCCGTTTCACCTGCTATAAATAGGGCCAGATATCTTTATGTAAAAGAGGATCGATACTTCGATTGAAACACTCTTAGCAAGTACTTCTCAGCAATTCTTCTTCCTGTTTTTTAGAGCTTCAACCCTGTAAGGGAGTTCTCCACAGGAATGGCCAAGGGAGTAGGAGTTTTTCTTCTCCCTTGGCCAAGTCATTATAGTTTTCTTAGATTAGATTACTGCTTTCATTTACAGCTTTGTAGCGTTAATCTTTTCATGCTTTCGTAGTAGATAATGAAATATCATTCAGTTCTTCATCCTAAATTCTTCCACCATTTTTACACACTTATATAAAGTTTGAATTTGGAGAATTCCATTTCACTGGTTTAGAGCTAAAGAAGAATTGATTATTTGAGCCTTGTTACGCGCCAAAAGCGGTCTCAAGGTAGTTCAATATAGTTAAGTACGCGGGAGCTTTGTCGATCTGCTTAACTGCTATTCTGAATTCAATTTTGATTAAAAAGAGGTAACAGAAGGGTAAAGCCACTAATGAGGCAGATTTTGGGAAAATTAACGGAAATAGGCGGTGGTCTATTAGGTCGCAGATATTCCTAGTGATAGTAGGGTTCCTTTCTTATAATATCTTGAATCTGGGTGTCATCGAAGTCTTGTTGTAAATCTCTTAAGGTCAAAAATTTCAGTGTTATGAATTATTTATATTTAGTTTATATAATTACACTACTTTCTTCTCACCGCTTCCATAAAATACATATATTTCCGATAACACAACTGCATCGCTCGTTCATTGCCTCCAGGGAAATCTATCCATTTAGTAACGCACAGTTCAAACACATCATCTCTCCTTCACTCTCGGTTGCTCATTTATATATATATATATATAGGTATACATATAATGTGCCGCTCGCTCATGTCCCGTTCACTCAGTAACCGCCATTCATCCATGTCCCATTCATCTGGTCCCCACTTCCGCTCATGTCCCGATCATTCGGTTACCGCTGGCACTTCATCTTCCGCCTTCGCTTTGCTCACTTCCGCTCACTCCATCTTTATCGCTTTACTTACCGTTTTTTATAGTCTAGCTGTTGGATCCGCTATAAGCGGATCCCTTCCTGTATTTTCGTCGTTTTTTCAAGATCTTTACCGTTGAAATTCATGACTTAAAATCCTTGTGTTCGACTTGGAAACTCACAAGTAGAAGAGTATAAATAATTGTGATGACTGCTCAGGGTCTACAACCACAAAAATTGCTATATCTGATCGTTTTCTATAAACTCCACTCACTGATTTTTAAATATAAATTCCCTGTGAATTGTGTAAACACACGCACTTTTTTAGCACTCATCACGTAGGCCCTGGCGGACCTCAATGCGGAGGCTCGCGGCCTCATTCGCGCTGATGCAGAGGGGCTCTCGTGTTTTCATTTCCGCTAGACTTTAGTACGTTATTATTTTCTTTGTTTCTACTTTCTTTCTCAGTTCTTAGTTATGTTTGGACTTATAATTACGTATGGTTTGATCCCGTTTAGGTACGTAGGCAGCTCATTTTGAGCGTAGCAAAAAAAATCCATAAACCTTAAACCCTAAAAAAGAAACCTTAAACCCTAAACCGTCTCTCGGATATGGTTCATGTATTTTCCATGAAGCTTTGTTGGAAGCTTCGTGAGGGCTCCTCCTTGTGAGCGCAGGCAATGCGGCACAAATACTTTCGTGATTCCTCTCCTGGTAATGCTCCTTGTCGGATATACGACAGCCCGATATGGAAGCGCTTGTGCCGAGTTAGGAAGGAGGTTCAGTTGCAGATTTATTGGACTTCAGGTCGGGGGGCATGCTATTTCTGGGATGATAGATGGCTCAGAGAGCAGCCTATTTCGACTTTTCGGGAGGACAGACTATCGCCGCCGCCGCCGCCGATCTTGGTTCGAGATATGTGGAGTTGCGACTCATGGGATATAATGAGATTACGAGCATATCTTCCCGAGTCGCTAGTTCAGCGTGTTATGGAGGTCCCTATTGATAGACAGTCGGAGGATCGGATGAGTTTGAATTCAACTACATACTTTTATGGTACATTGTTGCCTTGTTGTCTATCATTAGAGTGTTATGTTAATTTAAGCCGTTGTCATTTTCAGAGTGTTGTTTTAGGTTATGTTTTTTCAACCTCAATTTTGAGATTTTTACTGTGCAAATAGTGATAAATTAAAATATAATTTAATATTTATTATAATTATAGGAGAAAAATATATATACAATTTTGTAGAGAATAAAATTTTTTGTTGTACAAATAAATAAAATTTTAAATATATATGTTGCGTATAATATAAATTCATAATCAAATCATACAATATAAATTTTATCAATTAAATTTAATACAAATTTATATTATTTTATTCATTATCCATCAAATCAATACACATCAGAACTCCCCAAACCTCAGCCAAATCTAAACCCAAAAGAAATATCAAAATTCAAACTGATCCCAAAATTCAAATAAAAATCAAACACGAACCCAAATTTTTCCAACCCCAAAGAAACACACCCTTAATTCGAACTTTTTTATTTTTTTTATTTTTATATTGAATTCAACCATTTTTCCAAGCCAATGTTGTGCATAAAAGAGAGGGGATGCTTAGTTCCATTTCATTAATTAACTCAAGCATACATGCATACTTAGCTTATCGCAACCAATTCAATGCCTCGTCTACATTATATATGACAAAAAATTAAAGAATGGACAATTCAACATAAAATACTATAAAAATATACAATATATACATATTAATATAATATATATTTTATTCACTCTAAAACAAAAAATAACAATTCAATATCATATTTTTACATTACAAATGCAACTTCTAACATAAAAATTATATTCATCCAAAAATATAAAATAAACACACTCAATATATAACCATACTTTTATATATATATATATATATATATAATTTGATAAGTCTGAATTATTATATATTAACAATCTTCTTAATAAATATGTTAAATAAGACGGAATAAACTGGAGCAAGAGCAACTATTTATATACTATTATACAACTTGGAATTATGTATGATGGATAGTGCTTTACTTATATACATCAACAACGTAAATGAATTTACTTACAAACAATAAGAAATTAGTTGCCCCGCCCTGCCCAACAATTGGTCTGTCTGTGTGTCTGTCAAGGGAAAATTAAAGCAAGCTGGCTGGCTGGCTTAGCGTGATAAAGTTATCCCTATATTTTTCTTACAGGAATTGCTCAATGACAGGAGGAATGGCTTCCTTATCCTTATCATGTTAGCTAGCTGACTGAAGGCAACATTGGATTCATGCTAAGGCCAGATCCTCCAGAACCACCAGGCTCAGCATGTTTCACCCTGCCAAAATATCTGATATGACGCAACAACCTAGCCAGAAAGGAATTGTGGCATATTGTCGAGCTATCACAAATAATTGCCATATGTTTGCGTGCTCTAGTTATTGCAACATTCATTCGCCTGCTGTCTCCTAAAAACCCAACAGCTCCGAGGTTATTTGACCGAACCTGAACAAATCAAAAGATTGACGCTGTTAATCCTACTGTGCAAAGTAAATAGTGAATAAACTCCGGCACTTATGGCAATATACTGATTACTCAGGGTAAGCATCAAGACAAGAATGGATAGATAAACTATTTGTCTGTGGCATCTCCAAGTACAACAATTGCTTCAGCCCATAACCTTAATTGTCCACTCAAGGTTCAGAGGCATCAGAAATAAACTGTACAGGGGAAAACTAGTATATCTAATGCTCTATTTAGATACAAGTTTTGAAAGTTTTGGAAACCTTTGAAAATAGTAAAAAATTAGATATTTGATGTGATATTTTGTGACAATATATATATATATATATACATATATTTGATATTATTTTTTTTGAAAAAGTTGCAGTTGAATAGTTTCAAAAGTATTTATGTAAACAGAACTTAAATTTATATTGCAACAGTTCAGTTTTGAAAGCATGAACATCAAACATAATGTAACCGCAGGTAGACAAGAAATAGAACCAACAGCAAGCACAAGATGAATTGAGATGTGAAGCAACCTCCATTCAAACAAATAACTGGATGCACATGACATTAAAGGCATGTAAATGAGCATCCAAGATTCACATTTCACATTATCAATGTGTTAAGCTCAGCCAAAATATGGTTATTGGTTGAAAATAGCATTGGACGTTCTTTATCTCTATTGAAGCCCTATTTACATGGGCTCAAAACACACAAATTAAAATAATAATAAAATAAAACAAAAGCAAAAGCAAAAGTTCAGTCATTAACCTTGTGTCATGATCAAACCTAAGTGAATTCAATCCTTCTTTCTTCGTCTAGCATAAACCTTAATATCATCTAACCTCATCATACCACTAGCCTAAGATGCTGTAATTGTGCACAGAACTACTAGTTCTATCTCTGTGTGTGTTTGTATTATAACCAATAAAAATAAACCCTAAGATGGGCATCATTTGACGAATCAATCCGAAAGATAAGCATAATGTTATAATGTACCATGGATATAATCACAGCATCTGCTTCTCGGCCCTGAAAGCTATCAATGGTTGCAACCTCAACACCCATCGAAAAGGAAAACTCTTCCAGCCTATCTCTTAGGAGTTGAACTTGAGCAACGTAGGGAGATTGAACCACTATGGCTTCTGGGTTAACACCTGCACATAAACAACACTAGCAATAATCACTACAAAAATAGGCCACGATCCCTCATATGCGGTGGAATAATCCCATAAACCAATATATAGTTCAACTTGCCCTTATATGTAGCAGATCATATACATAATGTCCATAAGCCAACTATTATCAAAGAAATAAATAAGTGTATATGTCCATTGATGGGAGTGATAATTGGATCTTTCTTCATGAAAAGTGCAATTTGTTGGAAAAAGTGAGGAAGAATGACACACAAGATATTAACTCAATTTTGTTGGAAGAAAGAAAAATACACAAATAAAATTCTCTTCAAAATGACTTTTAATATTTACATTCTACAACTAATTGTGCAATGGAAAAAGCTACCTATTATACTAATTAAATGCATTGAAAACACACTATAATAATTAACACAATTTCTAACATAAATCATGTATGAGAATTGTTAAGACACGTAAATACTTAGTGGAAACTAAGGTAGACCATTAACAAGAATATGCCCGAGCTTCTATGGTATATCAAAAATCGAAGTATGAAGCGATTTTGATTAAAATCGAGAGCCTACTGGACTCCCCCGCTATCTGGGCATACGGAGATTCTTACGGGGGTGGATAGGCTCTCGAAATTTGGCCATTTCATTGTGCTTCGTAAGTCCTTGTTTGCAAAGAAGGTTGCCGATATATTTGTACAAGAAATCGTGCAACTGCTAGAGGTACCGAAATCGATTATTTCGGATTGTGACCCTTTATTTTTGAATAACTTTTGGCAAAAATTGTTCCGTTTTCAAGGGACAACACTTAAACTTAGCTCATCTTACCATCCGGAAACTAATGGACAAACATAAGTGCTTAATACGATTCCCAAAACATATTCAGCCCAACTGTCCACACAAAATTCGTGACCGAGAGTGATTGAGAAAATGAGTCAAAACTCATAGGCCTATTTAGAATAGTCCGAACCTTCTGGAGAACATGGTAGAATTCTGGACGTGGTGCCTCCATCCTCAGTACCACCGCCACTCTATCAGTCGGACCACAAGCTTGCAACTCTGCAATTGCCGCTCGAAGTGATGCAAGCTCTTCTTGCACCACAGACGGCTCCACCATAAAAGTCTTCTCCCGTCGGGCCAACTCAAAGCAACACACTGTTAACTCTTCCTGACTTTGATAACCTCGGCACTTAGGGACTCGACAACCACCTCCAACTCATTGCGGCATTGGTCCACCCTGACCACTAGTGACCTCATCAACTCTTTTCATGTCCTCGACCTTGTCAAGACGTTGGTCCACTATGTCTAGCATGTGGGAGTATTCACACAAGGATTGTTCCATCCGAACAATCCTTGCGTCCAATCCACCCACAGCGTCGACGGAGTTGCCGCGCCTACTCTTCCGGTTGTGCCTTCCATCATGGCCACCACCGATGTTGCCCGTATCATTGCCTTCATTGTTGTCCAACATGTTGGAACCATCACTCGTCATCCCCCAACGATAAAAGCTCAAACAAAACTCTGATACCACTTGTTACAGACTGCTTGATGATTCTCCAAACATCTTTCGTATGGCCTAGAAACTTCTCGGACTCCTTAAAGGTTGCTAGTACAACCTTTACTAGAACTCCTCAAGAATACACAAGAACACAACAGGAACACTTGCCACATTCTAAAGAGAGGAAACTAGTGAGGCAAATAAGTGTTCGCTCTCAATTTGATGATTTACCAATGAAGTGGCAAAACCTATTTATACAAGTCCATTGTGAGATGAACGGTCTAGATCGAATCAATCCAAAGGCTATGATTTGCCTTTAGAATGTTCTAGGGCTTCTACAATGTCGACGTCATTCAACCAACTACCATGTACAAGTTCTGGTTTTATCTATAAGTATCTATAAGGTTTTATAATGTTCTGAATTATTCTTGTTAATGCAAATTTTCAACAATAAAAAGTAAAATCCGAAAATAGAGATTATTTTCAAATTTGATAAAATAAAATGTCTGAGATTTAAGAATCCTTAGACACCGTACGATACATAAATAAATTAGAAAAATAAATACTACAGACTGAAAAAGTAGATGGTGATCCCCAAAAGCAATTCACTGAATTTGATGTCGATTGAAGATGGTTTCTTTAGGCCGCGAAAAGACCTATTTAAAACCCATGTCAACCGCTACAACCAGGTCGTGCCTTCATATCCGCTCGCCGGTTGTAACTTCTCTAAACCGCCCTACAGCAACTGCCGTCGACCACCCTCAAGGTCCTCCTCTGTTGACACGTGTCTTAACCAACTCACCAACCGCTCACACCTGTTACAGTGCTCAACTGGCTCGGCCGACCGCTTCTAAGCACCTTACCGCCTTAATTGGGCGGCTGGCCCGACCTGCATACCCACTGCGATACCTTTTTTTGTCCGCCTTACACTTTGCCCGACCTCTGTATCGGCCGTCTCATTTTTTCTCCTGACTTCCTTTTGCCCGATCTCAGCATCGGCCGTTTCATCTTTTTTTGTCCGTCTTCCTTTTGCCTGATCTATATGCCACCCAACCTGAGTGCATATTGTTTTTCCCTTTCTCGTCCGACCTCTCCTTGTCCGACCTCTTAATCACAGATTTCTCCCGAAAAACCCATTTCTTACTAACTCTTAGGCCGTTTGGCTTATATTCAGACCCATTTAGGATCCCACTGCCATTAACATGCCCATTAGACTTTACACCAATCCTTAGTCCAATTTTATAAGCCCATTCCCAAAAACCCTACACATTGGTTTTTTCTTGCTCAACAATTCTAAATGAGCCTCTGAATTTTAACTCACTTTCTCGGTCACTCTCAGTCACGAATTTGGCCCGGATACTTCAATAGTGCAGCCGGGGAGACTAAGATCTCGACCAACCATGCATTGTTCTTAGCTAATTGTGTGTTCTCCTCAACTTCTCTTTCATATCCACCTGATCGGCTTCTATCCTATGTAGTCGATCACTATTCCAAAACCCAGATCTTCAACAACACACCCTGATCCTATTTAAATACTCTAAGCAAAAACAAAAGCATAATAAAATAAAGGTCCAAATATAGAAATAAGAACTAATTATTAAAAGACTAAGAATCCAAGCTTGCGAAGGCAAGCTTAAGTCCGTCCCGCTTTCTGTATACGAGTAAGGGTCTAGACACTTCTTCGTTCCTAAGTACTTATTCTGGCTCGGATACTTGTCCCGGTTTGCTAACATTATGATGTGTTTGGAAGGATGACCACACATGGTATAAATATGATGATCAAACCAGCTCAGACTCCAGCTCATCACGTCTGTTAATAGTAGAGCTGTAAATGAGTTGAACAGAGCCGAGCTTGTCATGTTTGAGCTCGGCTTGTTAAGGATTCGAGTTTGGCTCGTGTTTATTCGTTAAGAAATACGAGCTGAAATTTTTGTTTGAGTTCAATTCCTTTAATAATTTTTTTGTTCGTGTTCGGCTCGTTAAGAGAAATTTTATTTATTATTTATTTTTAAATTGAAATTTAGTTAATAATAATTATAATTTTTATTAATAAAATTAAATAAAAATAGAATGAAATATAATATTTATAAAGAGATATATATTTATTAAATATAAATTTATTAATTTAATTTTTCTAATAAATTCTGTCAAACGTTCGCGAACAAGCTCGAGCTTGTTTGTGAACTTAACGAGCCAAAATTTATATTCGTGTTCTGCTCGTTTATCTTAGCGAACGAACACTTAGTGAGCTCAAACGAACCGAACCAAGCAAAACTGGCGAACTGTTCGTTTGTTTTACAGCTCTAGTTAACAGTTCATTAATATGTTAGATTGTCTATTATTTATCCAGTGGTCCTCACGGTTTGTTCATCAACTCAGATTTGGTAGTTTATTAAATGGCTTCATTAGATTTTTCTCAAATGTTCCGAGCTTGCATATTTACTCTGGAACAAGAATGTATTCAACTGATTTTTGGTGAATACAAAATAATCATTCCTTCTCTTGGTCTCTGTTCCCTGTTTCATAATTCTGCATAATTGCACTTAATTCTTCAATAATAAATTAAGTTTATATGTTTTATAACATTTGACAGCATTATCGATATGTCAAACTCTACAAATTAAGGAAAACATGGATGTGATCATGAGTATCTAGCTCCATCTGGTTTCAAGCATGCACCGTGAATAATGTTTTTTTATAACATTGCTGACAGGAAAACATATTAAATTATTTTTTACTTCGATTATAGAAGAATGAAAAGAGATGGGAATACCAGCATAAATCAATGAAAAAACATGTTGTGCTACAATATCTGCTTCCCCTTCATTATAGAAAGAACCTGTGCCAGCTGGATCTAATTGTTCTTCACAGCCAATGGACAAACTTCCATAGGGCATTCTGGTGTCAAGCAACAGCAATGGGCATTGTGTTATCCATGTTGGCTGCACTATGTTTTCACAAAGTCATTCTTTCATATCCAATAAAGATCAATTTACCATATCCATATTCCATATAATGAGAACAAAAATCATCTTACCTCAAGGACATACAAATTTTTATCCAGTAACAACTTAATTGCGTGAAAGTAGCATATTTACAACCTTGTTGACCAATCATAACCACCGAAAGTCAAAAGGTTATTGCAACAAAAGTATGTCAGGCAGATGATTGCTGACTTTCATAGCCAGAGCGGCACCACAGGGGGCAGTAATGGCTGCACTCAGTTGCAGCCCCTTTGCCAATCTATTTCCAGCCCCATAAATAGGATGGAGCTCATTTTGGCCTTATTGTTTCTGTGTTTTCTTTAGTTGGGTTCCTTTTCTAGTTTATTTATTCTATTCAAGTCCTTGATTCTTCTTTTGCTAAATATAGTTTGAGTCCAGTGAAGTAACTAGGATTTATCTAGAAACATTTAAAGTTTGCCAAGTCAGGCTTGGACAGTTTTCATGTAGCTTCCTGTTTCTTTTCAATTTGATCATTCTTATTATTCGTCCTATATTTTGAGTGACCTGATAGATCCCTTAACACCTGGAGAAACTCTGATGATGACACGGACGAAAACAAGACTAGTGTAGGTGGAATAAGCCCTGGGAGTCGTATTAGAGGAGCATTAGGAGATGAGATAACATCTGGTTTTGAACAATGCAGCTGAACCAGGGAGTAGAGAGTTGCGATCCCAACTTTCATGGAAGACAATGAGCAGAAGTGGAGAGCATGAAAGAAGGTGCCCTTAATTGTCTTACCTTTCTAAATTAAAGCATGCCTGTTATGCTAGTTCATCTAGTGGGAGGATCTTAGTATTCTTAAACCTGCATGTGTTGATAGATGAAAGTGCTTTCTATCAGGAAATGAAGAGGAGATATGGTAAGGCTTTTAAGGTTGTCAAAGATCCTTCTGTTTTACTGGAAATAATATATCAAACTTACTGTACATCTTAGACCCTTGAAAGACGGAATTCATAATATTTGTTCATAAGCTAGCATCAAGAATCTAGGTGCCACATACTTGGAGATAGCTAGGAAATGAAATTAACAAAACCAATTCATATAGCTAATTTTATTTATTAGAATTGTACTGTGTATGTCATTTCATGTAAATGTTTGTGAATCATACAAACAGTAGTAATATACATCAGGTAAATTTATTGTTCATGTTTTTATGTATTATAATCAGTTTCTTATGTATATATTTCTGATTTGAGTTTAAATATGGGTATGGTTTGATTTCAAATAATTCCATGCATAAATACATTGATACATAGGAGGAAAATTGGTTTAAAAATATGGTGTTTTGTTAAAAGGGACTTTATTAGAATTCAAACTAAACACAGACTATGTTTTTTATACTTGGTGTGCCGTTTGCAGAATTTCATAAGGGATCTGATTACTTGAAAACTTGAGTTATACATCACAGTATTGGGTATAAAATCCGGGTTTCAACAGAAATTTAAAATGTTTTAGTTGATATTAATATTTCTGTAAGCAATAAATTATAAAGAACTCAATCTGCCAATAGAATCGTACCTTAACCACTGGAGAATCAGACAAAACATGAGAAGCAACAGTTGGAGAGGATTTCAGCAAGCCATTATACGTTTCCTTCGAAGCCCAGCTAGATATTGCATCATTCATCCTATACTGTGTCATCAACTTTGTCGCAAGAACCCCTTCATGTAAAGATGATGCTCTTTCCAATAAAGACACTCCTAGACCACCTTGTAAGGCTTTCCTAGATAAGATAACAGGTGCTAATTGGCATTGATCTCCTGCAAGCACACACCGCTTTCCCAGCAATATTGGTATCCAACAAGAAGGTTCAATGGCTTGACCTGCTTCATCTATGACTACCAAGTCAAAGGGGCTGAGCCATCTAACCATTGGGTCAGCTGCTCCGATATTAGTGGCAAGCACAATCTGAGCACTTGAAAGAATTTCTCTAACTGTCTCCCTCTCCTTCTTCTTCATAGTCTTTCCCAACTGTTTCAAAAGCTGACGTATACCAGCAGCTAAAGAATCATCTTTTAAGCAATGGCTCAGGTCCTTTCGTAAATCAGATTTCTTCCTTTCAAATTCTGATTTAAAATCTGCAAGTCTACAGTTGACAATTTCAACCAGGGATTTAGATGCAACAGCAGGAGATATTCGTGCTGGATTACCTACCCGCACAACATCAGCTCCGATGTCAGATAATTGCTCAACCATGTTATCCACAGCAGCATTAGTGGGTGCTGTGACCAGTACCTTTTCCCCCTGTTCCACAACAAGTGAAATTAGTTGCTTCAGCACCCGGGTCTTCCCAGTTCCAGGAGGTCCTTGAATTATAAGTACAGGACGCTTTCTGTTTAAACCTAATGCAATAGCTCTTTGTTGTGATGTGTCAAAAAACTCAGTGTCTACTAGATCATTCAATTCCACATTCGCCCAATCTATCAAGCTATTATCCTCAAACCATGCAATATCTTCTTTATCTCCAAAAACTGTAGTCACAACAGCTAATGAAGCATTCTTTTTCTGTAAACCCTTCTTCTGAAGCAGCATTAAAGCTTCGCAATTGCGCTGCATGTAGTGATAACGGAAGTGAAATCCTATGTCCTTTGCAAATGAAATTATAAAGAAAAAGAAGGCAACATCTTGAAATAATATCATGTTAAATAAAAAATAGTCCTTGATATCATAGTACCAACTTTAATAGAAAAACAAAATGAATGCATTCCTCATTTACTTCAAGCTAACATAATAATCACCTTATGCAAAATAAAAATGAAGAGCTCAAATAAAATTAGCCATTTCTATTTCCCATGTGGTTGTAATTCAATGTATATGGGCTCAGAAGAAATGGGTTGGCGTGGTGGGTAAGGTTAGGCCAATTTAATACCTCATAAGTGACAGCATCAGCCAATCCTTGGATGCGATCAATACGGATATTCTTGCCAAATAATTTAGAAAAGGTAGGATCTCCATGACGGGATTCTAGCGCCACACTTATACTACATCCATCATCCCCCAGATTATTAACAAATCCTTGCATGCAAGAAGTTGCGCCAGCTCCCCTACTATCACATATTCTCACGCAAACCATATCTCCTGGAGAGAGGTTAGTGGGAGGCAATCTGTGGTTTCCTTCCACTCTGAACAAAACCAAATGCATTCCTCCTAGACCTGCATGCGCAAGCAAGCGTATTGTTACTACCAAGTATGTGATAATGGTATGAATCCTAGATATTCAACCTATAGATGTGCTGACTGCAGTCAAATTGCAAATGGTATCACAAAGCTCTTGCTCAGCCTGGGCATGGCTGACAAGGAATTCAATGGGCTTCAACGAATTGGAATGCTCATCAGGCATAGGAATAGCATTCAGCTCTTCCTGAGTGAACTCCAATTCCGCGTCCCTTTCTATGCGTAGTAGATCAGACATGTGCTTGGTAAATTCATCGATCCTACTCTGAATGGCATTGACCTTGATGAGGTCCAATCCCAACACACCCCGGACCAACTTGGATGGGGAAGTTTTCCTTGCAATGGCTCTATGTTGTGCTGCAAATTCCGAACCACATATAAATTAAAATTTAAGAACAGGCAGATCAGATCAGAATGGTCAAATGGGCGGGCAGTACACATGATATGAAGAAAACCTGAATTGGCGAGTTCCTTGAGCAGCTTCCATGACTCGGTTTTACGCCAGTCGTGAATGAGCGTTTTGTGCTGGAGCTCCTGAAGAACGTCTCTGAGTTCCCTCTGAAAGTGGTCAAAGAGGGTAGGATAATGAGTGCAAGTTTTGAGGCAGATGGCTTCCAGACCTAGGGGCATGGGAACAGCATTGAGGTAAGGCTGAGCCTGGAGTACAAAGGTGAGACCCGGCCCCATACGCTGTTTCAATTCCGCAAAATCGCCCTGCAGATCTGCCATTGCGAAATCCAGGGCCATGGCTTTCATGGCTTGGCATATCCATTTCACCACGCCTTTGCCCAAATCCTTCCGTCCCAATGGATCTCCATTCTGATATAGAGCACGAACGCCCACAGGGTCGCTTTTCAGATCATTTTCTTGCGGGGGCAATTTCTGTTTGCGCACATCATTACCGCCACCGGCGCCGTATTCTCTTCTGTTCCTGTGTATTCGTCTCTTGGCAGCGCTGCTGCTGCGGGTTCTGCTATTGCTATTGCTGCCGCTGCTGCAACTTGCACTTGCACTTCCCGGAACATGGTATGAAATTGAGGAACCCAAGAATACTCGTCTATCACTGTGACGGTAAAGAGAAAAAGATTGAGTTGAACGCCGGCGTGTGCCCAAGGCCAAGGATTCAGTAGTTAGGCCCACACGTCGCCACAGAAAATGTACGATGCTTCCCTCCTTCCATGCTTCCATCGTAAATAGCAGCAGAGCAGGATTTGGAGAAACTAATTAAATATCATCATATCAATAAAAATGCCTGTTTATTTATTTTATATATGTGGAGAGAGAGGGGGGGGACAGTAGCCAATAGCTAATGGCTGGTTCACGCATTGCCATGGCCCTTGTTTGTTTGGGTGGTCGACACACTTCCAAGTTTCTACCAAGTGCCACAGTCACTCGCCTTATACTCTTCCCAGTTCCCATCGGGCCCCGCCCTTGCAAATTAGAGAATAATAATTAACTAAATGGAAAATTGGAAATTAATCCTCATTTCATAAATTAATTATAAATCAGTTCTTAATAAAAATTACTCACACAATTGGTTAGCGTATGGTTTATAAAATATTATATCAGAACCATTATTATTCAACAATAATATTTTTGTTATTTCAAAATCATATTATATTTTACTTAATAATAATATTTTATTTTTTTATAATTTACTATAAATGTGTCCATGTAAATTGGGACGAATGTAATATAAATTAATTGTGAAAAAAGGATATTACAAGACTATGGGGTTGACATCCGTGCAGGCTCAGCTTCAGTCCAGCCCAAGCCCAGGGCAGAGCCCAGGCTGGGTGACCGACCCGCAGCCACAAATTAGCGAGCGAGAGGGCGAAACATATATAATAACTCTTTCTACTCCTTTGTCTTACCTGTGATTTCTGGAACGCCTCACCCTCACTCGTGAATCGGATCGTAGGGTTTTAAAAGATTTTGTGGTTATATATTTCGTAGAGAAATTGTCAATGGGAGCTAGTCGGAAACTGCAGGGTGAGATAGACCGAGTGCTGAAGAAGGTTCAAGAGGGTGTGGATGTTTTTGATAGCATTTGGAATAAGGTCTTTCTCCCATGCTATTATTGATCGCTAACTTTGAATTTCCCTTGATATGATAATCTCAAGTATAAAATTGGTATTATTGTTTTTTATTGTGCAGGTCTACGACACGGATAATGCAAATCAAAAGGAAAAATTTGAAGCGGATTTGAAGAAAGAGATAAAGAAGTTGCAGAGGTACCGAGACCAGATCAAGACATGGATACAGTCCAGTGAAATTAAAGATAAGAAGGTTATACTAATCTCCTGCTAAAGCAACGTATTAAAATTTATTAAAACTCACGAGATGGTTTCTTTCTTTTGGCATAGGTAAGTGCCTCCTATGAGCAGGCTCTGATTGATGCTAGAAAGCAAATTGAACGCGAAATGGAAAGGTTTAAAATATGCGAAAAAGAAACTAAGACAAAAGCATTCTCTAAAGAAGGCCTTGGTCAGCAACCTAAAACGGTAGGCATCACAATACTGTTCTGCTATTATATTGTTCAAACCTTTAATATGCTGGTTCGAGTATCTCTACAATTAGCATCCATTAGTGGTTCTGAAGGCCATTCAGCATGCAGCCGAATGGTTATACCATGAGGGCTTTCTGATTATAGTCTACTACTTGTAGATGTTATATCAGTTGAGTGAGTATGTGTTCTTTCCTTTGATGCAGGATCCAAAAGAAAAGGCTAAATCGGAGACAAGAGAATGGCTTAATAATGTGGTATGACATTGCAAATTTGTTTGCATCATATTCACTTGATGCCCATATTTTGAAAGGGGTGGCAGTATTATAATTTATAAGGATCTTTATGTGCTCTTCTTCCCTCCATACTCTCCATGACTGTTGAGGAACCTATGGAATAGCTATTTGCCTAATTGTTTTTGATATATATATATATATATATATATAGTTCTCATGCTGTTAACAAGCCTAGGAATTTTCTTTTCTATCTTGTTCAACTGACAATATTATGAGTAGTACTAACTGATCTGGTTAGTTTCTTTGCAGCTTTTCCCATGGTTTATTTATTGAATTATTAATAGCCAATATTTAGCTGTATTTCTGGCCTTCAGAAAGTGCATATATATATTTCATTACCTTATAAATTCTTTGAATGATATTTCATTAAATGTACATTGTGTTGGTAATTTGGTATGCTATAACGAATTATGATTATTATTTTTTTTTTAAAAAAAAAAAGAATTATTATTCCCTTCTGTCACTGTTTTCTTTTCTTTCTTTGAACACTCCCCTTTAATGATCGATGAATAATCTAGAAGATACAACATTCCTCTTGAGTAGGTCAGCGTACTGGAAAATCAAATTGATAGCTATGAAGCTGAAATAGAGGGGCTTTCTGTTAAGAAAGGGAAGACAAGACCGCCGAGACTGGTATGGTAAAAGGAAAGACATCTTTTGTGCAACTAACATGTTTGCATTATACAAATCTTTCTTTTGTAGACTCATTTGGAGACATCCATTGCTCGTCATAAAGCTCATATCATGAAGTTAGAATTAATTCTGAGGCTTTTGGATAATGATGAACTGAGTCCAGAGCAAGTCAACGATGTAAAGGATTTCTTGGATGACTATGTGGAAAGAAATCAGGTCTTTTTAATGAATTGTCGTCTTTATCCATCTTGTGAAATTCTTTTATGGAACCTAGTGGTTGATGACCAGCTTTGCTAACATGATTTGGATCATAAGAAGGTTTTATTGCTGCCTCTTTTTTCCTTTCTTCTTTCTGATAAAAGTTCAAATTTTCGTTAAACTATTCTTATTGTTAGATATTGGTGAAAAGCCAGCCATGCATATTGGTACTTAACTTGGACTTACACTGATCCTCTGTAAAAATATATTTTAGGAGGCCTTTGATGAATTTAGCGATGTAGATGAACTTTACAGCTCCTTACCATTAGACAAGGTTGAGGCTCTTGAAGAATTAGTTACTATTGGGCCTCCTGGCCTCATGAAGGTGAACAGCTTATCCTCAATTAGTTCTCTTTAAGATACTTTAGTCCAGTTGACTTCTTTCAGTTTTGCTTCTGTGTCTCTATCTGTCTGCATTCTTAATATATGCGCCCAATGTTCCCCCATTTCTCTGTTATATTATCATTTATCTGCCATGCACACATGGATGTAGCTCATCCTCATTGGTTTTTGTTTTTTTTTGGAAGAATCCTGTTAAAACAAACACATTACACATAGTAAGCAAGCAAGATCTGAATCTGTTTCTTAATCTAAAATTTTTTCATATTGGTCTTTTGTGTGTTCTTTCACGAAAAGTAAATTCCAATTCCTTTGTTAGGTGGAAAAAAAATATTGAAGCAAAATCCTAATCACATTCTGTTATTGACAGGGTGTTGGTGCTTCTAATACAGTTTTAAGCATGAAAACTTCTTTGGCTGCTGCACCTGCCCAAGCTCCTGTATGTACATTTCCTAATGCTGCACATTTGCACTCCAGTTGTCTGTTGAAGTGAAAAAAAAAAACTGCCTGCTTTGTTTTGTTTCCTAAATTGATAAGCTGATGGCATCAAATACTAAGGGTGTGTTTGTTTGTGGGTTTTAGTTTTTGGATTTGGATTTTTGAATAGTAAAAAGTTGAATTTGAATAGTTGTTTGATGTGATGTTTTGAACATAAAATAAATATGTAGTATAATATAAGAAAAAGAAAAGTAACTGTTGTGATATTTTTTGAGGGAAAAAAGAATCTGAATAGTAAAAACCTGTGGTAAAACTAGGGGTGTCAATTCGTGTTTTTGGGTCGTGTTCGTGTCGGGTTGAGCCATGGGGATAACAGAACAACTGTCAACCCGAACCCGAAATCTGATCTAAATTCGAACACGACACGAATTCTTTCAGGTTGGGTTCAGGTTGACCTGAATTAGTTTCAGGTCACCGAAACCCGAACAAACCTGATACAAACCCGATACAAAACAGACCCGAAAATTTTAAAAAAATTAAATTGACCTAAAAAATATCATTTTTATTTTAATTTTTATATTATTTTATACTTAAAATAATATAAATATTATAAATTAAAATAATAATAATAAAAATTTCAGGTCAACTTGAAACACGACCTGAATACGACACGAATTTTTTCGGTTCGAGTTCGGGTCGACCCAAATCTGAGCCTGAAAATTTTCAGGTCGAACGGGTTCAGTTTTTCGGGTCGAGTTTGCTTTTGACACCCTTGGTAAAACCCACAGAAGAATACAACCTAAGATTTTCATTGGGGTCATTTCTGTTTTAGCTATTAAGAAAACAAGTGCCATTGATAGATGGTGGTGCTTAAGATTTATTTTGTGCACTGGAGCACCCATTCACCGTGCTAGCAAACTTTTATGTCTCTATGTGATACCAAATTTGTTTTTGTGCTTGAACGTTCTTTCTACCCAGTAAACTTGTGAATTGTTTTATTGAAACATAGCTCTGAACACTAAAACTTCATACAACTGCCCTATTGTCTGCTTCACCCTTTGAGCGTTTCTCCTGTTCATTGTTGGTACTTTTCATTTCTACAAACTTGTCCACAGAAACTGGTTGCAATTTCACTTTTTGTGTACCTCATAATCCTCATTTGTGTTATGTATTCAGCGAAATATTCTACTGTAGAAACACCTTGATCATATGAATGTTGGTCTACTCCAGATACTGAATGTCTCTTCTATTCCTTTTTAGGAAGATGATGCTAATTCTGGGTTGTATTTTTTTAAAAAAATCTTTTTATGCCTTTTCCATATTTTCCAGACAATTATGTTTGAATTAACACTTTGGGTCAAAGTTATTTATTGATCACTTATTTGTTAGTTGGGTCAAGGTGGCTCAAGCTGAAGTTTGTGGTTGTGCCGATTTCTGTGAATGAAATTTGTGAATTGTGATTTTTAATGTGCCCATTTTGGCAAAAGAAATTAGGCATTGTTTGACCTTACACTAACCAGATGGGGTGCATATTCAAATGCGATCCCATTTAACCTTTGGGGACCAATTTCAACTTCTGTACTCCATGAAACAGAGATCGAAGCTACTATTTTATTACAATTTTATTCTTTTTATTTATTTAGTTATTATCTGTTCTTTAATATCTAAGCTTGAATATTCTGATCAGATTACTTTGAATTATTTCTTTTACTTGTCTGTATCTTTGTATTTGGGTTCTCTAGTTGCAATGTTAATGCTTCTAGTTTAAATCTCTGTTACAAAGTATCCTGATGACTTCTCTTTCCAGCCAACTACTTCTGTCTCCATCCATGTTACTTCGACGCACAGTCAAGTAGATGAAACAGCTTTTCAGGACAATGTCGTTGCGAGAACCCCTCCCCCCAAGAGCGGTGCTATCAGTAGTTCTGTACCACAATCGACTACAGCAGGCCATGCAACTACTGGCATGACAGGTAAGTCAATATAATTATGTTTAGTCTCATTTTTTTCCTACTTCATTCTTTGAGTTTCTCATTTATGTTTCTGAAACATCAGTCGCTGCTGGTTCGTCATCTCCGCTCACTGCATCAAGTGTTGCAAAAGAAGAGGAGAGTGCAAACTCTCCTGGTCCGAAAGTGTCACCAGCACCTACAGAAAGTGGAATAAGGACTGCAGGTAGAGGAGGCACCTTGCCTGCTCAACCTACTTCTGGCCTCCTTGGCTCTGGCAACACAACCCCCAGCAATGGTTCCCTTGGTGCCATTCCTTTGGTTCCTGAAATTGTGAAAAAAGCTACTTTGGGTTCTGATGATCGATCGAGTGGTAATGGTATGGTACAATCTCTTGTTTCCCCCTTGAGTAATAAAGTGCTCTTACTGCCACAATCTGCCAAAGCTAGTGAAGGTCTGGCATCAGCCGAGACTGTAAGTGTTAGTGATACTGCAGTTATGGGAAACAGAGTTTTCAGTTCACCTATGGTTCCTGGTACACAGTGGAGGCCTGGAAGTCCCTTCCAAAGCCAGAATGAACAAGTATGTTCTACTGTTCTGCTTTGTAGTTAGAGGTGACCTGTAGCTCACTCTTTTGTGCTTCATTTGTACATTATGTGAATTCTCTTCTAGTTTGAGTATGCATATATACATATATATGTGTGTATAAATGCATATCTTTAGCCATTCTTTGCCCTGCCAATATTGTTGCTTATTTGATGATTTTCTCTCAAGGAAGATCTGATAGGCCTATTCTTGTTGTTGGAGAGAGTGGTTTGAGTTTGCGAATTTTTTACTATTTAGCCCTGGATAGTGGAAGCCTTATCTTGTGTCATGAGTAAACTTACAGGCACTATGGCTTGAATTTCCATCATCATATTTGTAATTTGAAAATCGAAAGTTTAATTATTGAGGGATTAAAGTGTTAGAAGTACATTTTAAGGAGCTAGATTAAAGCAAGGTTTTATGCTCAAGGGGTTGAACGACTTGGAGAAACACCCTTTTTAAGGTAAATGGGATGAGAAAACGGTATACTGGTGTTGTTGCCTCTTTATATATGTGATTTCAGTTAATTTGATATTCTTAGTCATATGTGGAACTTAGTTCATGCTTTATATGTAATTCCAATAGCTCCTGTAATTCTTGTTACTCCAATTGCTTCCAGATGTTGTTCATGAGTTGCCGCAATTACCCTTCCAACAGAGACCTTTCTCTCTTACCCTCCTTTTGATGTTCCTGAACATTGATGTTGAAGTCATTACTAACCTTGAAAGAAATAACTTTCTATAATTTTAGGGACAGTTTCGTGGAAGAGCTGAGATTGCCCCTGATCAAAGGGAGAAGTTTCTACAACGATTTCAGCAGGTGCAGCAGCAGCAGCAGCAAAGTCAGGCTAATCTTCTTGGTATGCCACTTACTGGAGGGAAGCAGTACAGTTCACAGCAGCAGAGCATTCTGTTACCACAGGTGCTTTGTGCTTAGGTTTTCATGCAGTTCCTTCTTTTACTTCCCTTGGTCAATTTTAGTAGGTTGTTTATACAAATAATAATAATAATAATAAATTGTACTTATTTAAATGAAATCCTAATGCCAAAGAATTTGAGGGCTGTCTAGGGTTTTTGACAGGTAGTTACTTTTAAAGAATTTTGGTCTTCTCAAGAAAACCCTGCATGCATATTGGTGTATCTTCTTGGCATTCTCTCTCAGCTCTTCCATTAAACTGATGAGAGAGAGAGATATATATGAGCGATGAAAGGGTTTTCCTCTCATCCCATGACCTTGTATCCTTGACATTTAATATTGGTTCTCACATTAAAGATATGATATCTTAGAGATTTGGAAAATTTATCCTCACTTGAGAAATTAATTGTAGTTCTGCATTTATCAACTAGTAAGGTAAAGACTGTTAAATGTGTTTCGATTTACTCTTTAAAAGTTTCTGCGTACACTTTCAGAGTGACTGAATGAAAATATTGAATGTAATGGGCACTGAGTATTGTATATAATCCATGTCTGGGTGGCCGAGTTGATCTGATTGAAGAAATTTCTTTAACTTCTATAAGCTCTGTTGACATTGTTGATGTATTGACTATTGAGAATAACTTTCACTTGCTAGAATCCTCAGTTCAATGTTCAAAGTTCATCTATCTCTCCTCAACTTGCATTGGGGATTGGAGTTCAAGCTTCAGGTGTTACTTCATCTGCTTCACTGCAGCAGCAACCAAATGCCATTCAGTCATCTAATCATCAGCCAACTGTAACTTCAACCTCAAAGGATGCTGGTAAGTCGATCATTGCTTTGTGTTTTGGCATAACATGTTCATTGACTATCCAGAAACATAATAGTATGGATTTATAAACCAAGGCAGTTTTATGTGATTTACTTTATGCAAAAAATTTGATTTATACTATGATAAATATTAAGGGTGTGTTTGGTTACCATCTTGATTTCAATGGCACTATGCTTCCAATTTTTTATTTTTTTTTTCAAATATTACATTATATAAAACCCACACAAAATTTTATATTTCTACTTCTCTCTTTAATAAACAAATATATTTATATACATTCAAAACTTTCTATTTTTCTATAATATAAATTTATGTTAATCAAAAATAAATATTTATATATTTTATTTATTTGTATTATATAAAAGTTTATTCTATACAAATAATATCTATATTATATACATTTTATTAAATTGTTAGTTTTTAAATACTTTTGGACACACATAATGAAAACTGAGAAATAACAGGATTTTGTTGAGTTCATATATGTTTTATGTAGTGCTTTCCTGCCAAAATGAAACTGCTGTATATTGAGTAAGCACCAATTGATGCCTTCTGTGGGCAGCTGATTGTTGCAATCACCTTCCACACAATGACACAATGAACTTTTAGTAAATTCATCACACACGCACATATATATAATAGAACTGTTGTAATCCATGGAAATATGTTTGACAGTTCTAAGTTGTGCATAGTTGTATAACTTGATATGTTTGTTATGTATTAACTATATTGTATGATTTTGTATCCTGGAAGCATCTGACCTTATATATATCCTAAGTATTTGTTAGACTGGAAATAATTAATTTTATATAAAGTTGTGAAGCACCTCTCTCCACTTCCTCCTTTTCTTCCATAAATTCCAAATTCAAATAAGGCATTAAGGTTTTTTAACTATATGTATTTTTTCAAGTATGTAGTTATTTATTTATTTATTTTTCTTCAGTGCTATGATTGTAACAACTTATGGGTCTGCAGCACTGCTCAAATTCCAAAAAATAATCCTGTTGTAAGACAATTGACAGATGGTAACATTCTAATAGCAAAGTCTCATTACATGTGTAGAAACAGGCCAGGCAAATTTTGAAGATATGCAGCAGAAACAATCACTTGTAGAAGATCCATTAGCAGATTTCGGTTCAAACACAGGAACTGGGAAAAGCATTGTGCAAGAGGATGACTTGAAAGCTTCTTACACATTAGATTCTGTGGTATGTTAAAGATTTTTATTGTGTCTGAGAAATTTTCTTTGATCTCTATACTTGTTAGGACATTAGTTCAGGCACTGATGTTTGACAATCCTGCAGCACATTTACTCAAAACTGATAATATTGTTGTGAGATGATGAGGCTGCATGATTCTTTGATTTCTCAGTGTACCTAGAATTTGGTGTCATAAAATTGCAAGAGGCATTTTCTCTGAACAATTGTGAAAGTAGTTTAATGTTGTGCAATTGTGTGCAAGCAGGCTGCATCTGCTTCTGGCTCGCTTACTGAGCCTTCACAAGTGATTAGGGAGACTGACCTATCTCCAGGTCAACTTTTGCAATCATCATCATCTTCTGGAAGCCTTGGTGTTATTGGCCGAAGAAGTGTTTCAGACCTTGGTGCTATTGGAGATAACATTAGTGCTCTAACTGCAAATTCAGGAGGAATGCATGATCAAGTATACAATTTGCAGATGCTTGAGGCTGCTTATTATAAACTTCCTCAACCCAGAGATTCTGAACGTGCAAAAACATATACTCCAGTATGTGGCTAAATTGTCCAAGATTTTGGTTCTCAGCCCAAAATTTTCATTTATATAAGGCCTTCCTTTTGGTGTGTACAGAGACATCCTGCTGTCACAATTCCTAGCTATCCTCAAGTCCAGGCTCCTATTGTTAATAATCCCGCCTTTTGGGAGCGGCTTGGTGCAGATACTTATGGAACTGATGCTTTATTTTTTTCGTTTTACTACCAACAGGTAGTTTGAAACTCTATTCAGTTGTATATAGTCAACCTGCACTGTATAACGGTTTTATGTTTTTAATCTTGTTGTAATGTCCTCCCTTCTTTGCAGAATACTTACCAGCAATATCTGGCGGCTAAGGAATTGAAAAAACAGTCATGGAGATACCACCGGAAATATAACACATGGTTCCAGCGCCATGAGGAGCCCAAAGTTGCCACAGAGGATTTTGAACAAGGAACATACGTTTACTTTGATTTCCATATCACCAATGATGAGCAACATGGATGGTATGCTTTTCCGGTCTCATGGTTCTTCTACGTATAACTCACATCTATATTATTTATTGCATTGTCTTAAGTTTATTTCCCAGTTTTAATATCTGCACCCAGTGCTGCGATACTTTTAACATTCATTATGTTGATTTGCTATCTTAATTAAATTAGTTTATCTGAAAGGTCTGGCTCTGATTGTTTTCATTGACTTGTATCTGCTGTTGTTAGGGGAAAACATTTTTCTAAATTAAATTAGTAGGAAATAAGAAAGATCGATTTCTGGAGTAGCGAAGGGTAATAACGAGCATTGAACAGCCACAATCTCTGTCAATCCTCACTCTATTCCTTTATGTTCATGATATTGAATTATTCATATATGCTTTATCTGGTTGCAAGCCTTGCAACTACATGTGTACCGTCTTTCTCATTTCCTCCTTGTTTCTATATACTGGTGGAAGAATTTTAATTTATTATTTATGCTGTTATTTAGAAAAATTAAAGTAGTGATTGAGTTGAATGTGTTTATTTATTTCATGGGGAAACTTTTAATTTCTTGCTATTAATAATTGCTGCCACTGACATAGGATCTTGTGTACTGTTATCTGCTGGCTACTCTGTCTTGATTGCACTTTAAATAATTAAAATGTATTGATTGTTTTATTAGGCTAGGCAACTTTGAATCTCGATATCAAATATCAAATCAGTGTTAATTTAATTTGTATGTAAATTTGGTTTTCTAGTTCACCCTGATGATTGATCACTTATTGATTGTAATTGCATTTTTGGGTTGTTGTTTCAGGTGTCAGAGAATTAAGACAGAATTCACTTTTGAATACAGCTATCTTGAAGATGAACTAATGGTGTAAAATTTATCTCTCAGCATGTTTATTTTGTTTGTCTTTCTAGTTTGATATGAGATAAACTTACAGAATGCTTGCTACGGTAGGTGTTCTTTTTCTTGTATATGTGAACTTTATTCTGTCAATTTAGTGAAAATTTCCTGTCTCTTTAACCTCTCATCCAAATTTTGTTTATGTAAAATCCTTAAATTTCTGGGAGCTTCATTCATGGCAATGATGTAGAGCATAGCATGGGTTTCTCAATTGACCAGGATGAATGTCACTTTTGCTGCCCTACAAAATGTATATAATGCTGTGACTGTTATGAACTTGATGATGTTCTCTTGTGCTGATGAATCTGATGGTTGGTTTGAGGGTGCTTTTAACCTGAAGATTGGTCTTTAGATGTGATTCCGTTGTCATGTTTAGGATTCAAAATGTATTTCTCATGATAAAAGCACCTAAAATCATTAGCACAAAAGGCATAATCAGCGTTCATCTGATGAGAAATACATTTTTGAATGGGAATAGACCTGTTGCAATCGTGGTTTACTGTCTTGGCCGAGTCTAAGTTGGACCCGGAATGACCGAATTCCAATTGGAATCGCAACTATTGATTTCATTTCTCTCCGTTTCATTTGACTAATGAAAAAATTGTTGTTTCTGGATCAAATAACAACCTATGAAATGAGACTCGAAAGACTATGTAATAAAATGCAATATTCCCTTTTGATCCAGTGTCTATCAATATTCTCTTCATTGGTTGTGGTCTAAAGCTATATTGGACGTAAGGGCTATTTATATAGTGTCGGGCTTTCTTTGTCTTTTCATCTTGTCTATTTTTAGGCGGCTTGAAAAATATCCAAATTAGGCTTTAAAGAATGACTTTGCTTAATTCTTGATCATATTTGCTTGTCTCTAGCTAATCAGATCTTCTTTCTACTAAGAGACAGGTTTTTTCGTAATGAATAACCTTCAAAATCATAACATGTTGATATATGGTGTAAATCCCGAATCTGTTACTGAAAATTTGATTTTTGGGCAGAGAGGTTGTGCGCGGTGAAGAAGGGTTTTCCGATAAAATTTATTAACTATTATAAATATATTTGTATAAAATGAATTTAAATTAATTAATTATTTAAATTATATACTTAATTAAATCTATATTAATCTAGATGGTTTGATATTATTTTCTTAAAATAAAATTAAATATTAAATGTAAATTTATTGTTTAAATTTATTTATTTAATCTTTTAATAAATTTTATACAATTTCTAAAGTTATTGCTAAATTTGCAACATAGTAAAATATCTTGTGCTTTCAATTTCTCATATAAATTCGCTTTAATTCATAAATTTCAAAGTCGGTTTCAATAATATATCTTTTTGTTTTCAGTTTCCCCACATTAGAATTAGTTCTTTCATATATTTTGTGCTCTGGTCTCTTATTCTGTAGCAAGGAAGCAAAATCGCTGCACTCAACAATATGAATATGAAAAATTTACATTGATTAACGCCTGGAGGTGAGGAGCATTGGAACTTATTATGAATTGAATATTAAGTCTAAGATATTCAAATAATTTAGATAAGAAAATAAAATGTAACTAGTCGAATTCAAATTTATGAATTAATTAAGAGTATTATATTCTTCAAAGTTATTTTTTACTTACGGGACTCCAGTTACTGAACTAAAATGATAAAAGGCAAAATATTTTAGATTTCTCTACAATTCTTTTCTACAATGAGATATGAAATAGTAATGTTATCATATTATTTTTTTTATTAATTAGTCACGTAAGTTAATAATTTAACGAGTCTCTGCAAGTAGGAAGTCTCATTTACTAAATATTTTTTAAACTCAATAAATTTGATAGATCAGTTCAAATAGTTTAAATTACTAAATATTTTTTAAATTCAATAAATTTGATTGATCAGCTCAAATAGTTTAAATTTAATCCATTAGTGAACGTTTAATCCACCAAAGAAGGCGTTGGGGTGAGAGTGGAGGAGGGAATTGATCAATCTAATATAGTTGTGTTGTGTGTATCAATGCTATCTATATCTCTATCTATCTATTTGATATGGCAAGTACATTTACTTTATATTACATGTGTTGTTGTTGTCGGTAGCGCAGTGCAGAGTAGATGGATTGGATCACATAAATCGGATCAGGGAATTAAATAGCCATGCTGCAACAGCTTGGAACAAATTATGGGAAGTGAGGGAAGTGATGAGAACAAAAACATCTATAGGAATTATCTCTAATTTCTCAAAGAATATTGGGGCAAATTTATAGCTTCGAATTCTTGTATGCAAAAGAGGAATAAAAATCTACAATTGAGGACGAAGGCTTAACCACCCCCAACAACCTCACTAAACGACAACTAAAGGGAGTTAGGCTACAAAATGGGCTTAAGGAGAGAATAAAAAATAAATACAAGAAACAAGAGAAATTGTTCAATTTCAGACCTCGTTAAATACAAGCAAGCTTGTCTGATTCTTCTTCAATCTCGTCAAAATCTTCATAGAAGCATAAACGAGCTGAATGAATCCCGTGGAGGAAGAAGCAGTTGGCACTACGTACAAATTAATGCGAGCAAGCTAGCTAACACACACAACATCCAATTGTCGGAAAAAGAACTTTCACTAGCGGGAGGTGAGGGGCAATCACAATTCACAAGTGAAGGTGAAGGTGTAGTTGTAGTTGTTTCTGCGGTATTATCCATCCAGCATCGATCCATCTAATCTTTCACCGGTGATAAAAGCAAACTAGATTTGGTGATTGGTGATTGAATTGAATACTTGTGAATGTGTGGGCATGATATGTTAATCAAAAGCTCCTTTATTTTTGTTGTGTAAAATAAAAATGGTCGATAAAAAAAAAAATGACTGAACAATTGTGTGTGAACATGTTGTATTGATCAACAATTCCTTCAAGTACTTAAATATATTTGTGGTAGATCCATAAAGGCCTTTTGTAACTTCTTGGGCTCTTTGTTGTATTATCATTTGTTAGGTCCAATCCATTCGTAGTCCATTCTCCTTCTCTTTGTTGTTTCTTTATTTAGTTTGTTAGAGAGAATCTAGTTTGTTAGCATAGAAGCTTCTCCTCTCCTTCCTCTCCATCAATTGTATATATGTACTGCGTGCTCTCTTGAATAATATTGTGGTGAGAAGTTTTCCAAAAATTCCTCTATGCTTTGAAATTTCTCATGATATCAGAGCAGCTCTAATCTTTCTATATATTCTCCAAAATGGATTCAAGCCCCTCATCTGCATCTGCTACGATGTCAAACCTTTCACGCCCAGTTGTGAGCTTTATTTCTCACATGGAGCTTCCTTCTTCAGATCATCCTGAGATGATGTTGATTACCACCCAACTAAGTGACTCCAATTATCTAATCTGGAGTAGAAGAATTTTGCGTGCCTTGGTTGCCAAAGGCAAAACTGGATTTGTCACATGAAGCATCCCAAAGCCAACTGAAGTTGTTGCTGCTGCCATCTAGGAAAGGACAGACAACATGATCCTACAATAGATTTTAAACTCCATTTCCCCAAACCTTGTTGATTCCTTTGGATATGTCAATACAAGCAAAGAACTGTGGGATATTCTAAAGGAAAAAGTATGAACAATGCAATGGTCCTTTGAGCTACCAGCTTTAGAGAGAAGTGTCAAACACTGTCCACGGTAACATGAGTTTATCTGCTTACTTCACAAAAATGAAGAATGTGTGGGATGAAATACGATGTTTGGCTCATATACCTGAAAACAAGAATGAAATGAAAGAATATATTCATAGGCAACAACTAATTCAATTTCTTATAGGCTTAAATGATTGTTATGACTCTGTAAAAAGTCAGATCCTGATGCAGGACCCTTTGCCCCCTATGAACAAAGTCTATGCTATGCTTTATAGCATTGAGAAACAACAAGAAATTCAAGGTTTCATGCAAGAAACATCACATACAGTCCTGATGAACTCACACAAGATGTCTTTTAAGGCCTTTGAGAAAAAGAGAATTGACAAAAGAAATATTGTTTTGTGATCACTGTAAGAAGACAGGACACACAAAGGAAACATGCTTCAAGTTGCATGGAACCCCTGAGTGGTTCAAAGCTATGCAGGAAAAATGAAAGAATGAAGGAATAAAGGTGAACAACCACAATGTTGCAACTACTCTAAATCTCATTGATGATGGTACTATTGGCTCGTATGGATCCTCTTGGTCCTCAGATTCCATCGCTGAATTGATTAAAAGGGAAATAAGTAAAGCTCTTGGGGGAAATAGCGACACTCCAATAGATCAACTCAACTTGGTAGAGTCTGAACATGCAGGTAATGAGCTTATCAATGTCAGTATTATGAGTTTGAGTACAGGGACATGGATCTTAGATTCAGGAGCAACTTTCCATGTGAGCAACACGATGTTGCATTTTCAACACCTAACCCCTTGAGGAAACCTGTCACGATTCACATGCCAAATAGAGCAATTCAGCTGGCATATCATACAGGCACAGTCCATCTAAACTCATTTTTTATTTAACATAATGTGTATTTTGTGTCCACCTTTAACTATTGCATTAATTACATATTCAAGCTCTGCTAGGATTCAAAAGTTTGTGTGACCTTTCAGGTTGATACTTGTGTCATTCAGGTCCAGCAAAGTGAAAACATGGTCGGGAGGGGCAGGCTCAAAGGACACCTCTACCACCTTACCCAAGAATCACATCATCAGTTACTCTTCATCTCTACTCTTAGATCTCCCTGACACCTCAGATTAGGACTGTAACACCCCCAGTTGACTCACACTGGAAATGCTACCGCCACACTGCATCATGAGGTCGTTACCTCCTACTTCAGGCCCCACAATACAGTGTTAAGGCTAAAATTAACCATAAAAGCGCATAATTATATAACAAAATCTGATTTATGAATATTTACAAAACACACTCCTAAACAAAAGGTTTTTCCGGTTAAAAATTACATATGATACAATAGATGTAAGTTCACTCACTCAGCCCGTCTTTCTATATTCCAAGACGTCCCCTGTCCCGGAGGTGCCATGCATACTTGAACCAAATATTTTTCTTAAAAGCAGTATAGAATTAAATTTATGTTAAGAACTAACATGAAATATGTCATGTTATACCTTTTAAAATAAAGTC